ATGTTACAAGCCTGACACCAGAAGGAGACGGAATCTCTCTCCTAAACTCCAGCTCCAAAATCCCCAGGAGAGGGACTCATTGGCCCAGGTAGTGTCCAGTGTCCATCCTTCAATGGCCAGTGACCAAGACTTCTTGTGGGAACGTGGCAGCCCCTGTTGCAGTCACGCGGATGCTGGATGGGGCAGGGGAATTGCCCAGCAAAGAAGACTAGGCAGATAGTCCGATAGACATCGACTTGACGAGCTTATTTTCTCTCCACGCTCCCTCTTTTCTCTCCCTCAGAGCTGCTCCTTGCTCATTACTTCCAGCTTGTCTGGGCCTCTACTCGTGCAAATCCCGCCTCTCTCTGCATGCCTCACTCCACTCATGGCTTTGCTGTCTTCTCACTCCCTAACCATAACCCACTGCTACTGCCTAAAACTTTTACATGTTTCTTCATTCAGACTTCTCAGGTAATTGAGTGGTCCTGCCCATATTTCCACAACAGGCCAGAAAGGCACCAATTCGCTTAAGGTGTGGCTGCCTTGGGGTGCAGAATCTGTATCCAGGAATCTGCTAGAGGGACACAAGGCTTCACTTTCTGCAAAGCTGCAGGCATGGAACAGGGGCAGGTGTTATGAAGAGACATCCATTATACCTCGCCACTGAAGGGATGCTCCTTCCAGAGGGCCTTCCCATCCTGAAACCCACTACCCACAGCATTAGACCCTTGAGACTGCCATGAGGTGCTGAGTGCATTTGTCCAGCCCCTACTACAACAGAGATCCAAATGTGCAATGGCTTAAATGTGTTAGAAGATTATTTCTTGCTCATGTATCAAATGAGGAATAAGCAATCTGGAACCAATATGACAGCTTTATGATGTTGGGGACTGCTGTGGATTGAATGTTCCCCCAAACTCATTGAAGCTTAATCCCTATTGTAACTGTTAAGAGGGTGGGAAATCCTATTATGGTAATTAAAATTTGGGCCTTAAAGAGGTGATTAGATTGTGAGAACTATGTCCTTGTGAATGGATTGATCCATCATGGAGTAATGGGTATGGTTCTGATGGCTTTAAAAGGAGAGCTAGTGAGAAGTTTAGCTCACTCTTGCTCAACCCATTCTCACCATGTGAGAACCAGGAAAAGGCCCTCACCAGATGAGTTAGTTACCACCAGGAAAAGGCCCTTACCAGGAAAAGGCCCTCACCAGATGAGTTAGTTACCACCAGGAAAAGGCCCTTACCAGGAAAAGGCCCTCACCAGATGAGTTAGTTACCACCAGGAAAAGGCCCTTACCAGGAAAAGGCCCTCACCAGATGAGTTAGTTACCACCAGGAAAAGGCCCTTACCAGGAAAAGGCCCTCACCAGATGAGTTAGTTACCACCAGGAAAAGGCCCTTACCAGGAAAAGGCCCTCACCAGATGAGTTAGTTACCACCAGGAAAAGGCCCTTACCAGGAAAAGGCCCTCACCAGATGAGTTACCAACAGGAAAAGGCCCTCACCAGATGAGTTACCTGGACTTTGGACTTCCTACCCTTCGAAACTGTAGGCAATAAATATTGTTTCTTAAAAATTACCCAGTTTTGGGCCGGCCCGGTGGCACACTGGAGAGTGCGCCACTTGGGAGCGTGGAGGCGCTCCCGCCGAGGGTTCGGATCCCACGTGGAGACCGGTTCCTGCTCACTGGCTGAGTGTGGTGCAGGCGCAACACCGAGGGTTGCGATCCCATTGCCGGTCAGTAAAAAAGACAAAAAAAAAAAAAAATTACCCAGTTTCAGGTATTCTGTTACAGAAATGGACTAATGCAGGGACCCTAGCTCCTTCTGACCTGCTATCTGTCATCCCTGGGGTGTTTGCCTCATCTTTGTAGGTCTAGATGGGTTGCTGCCACGTTCTAGCTAGAGGGAAGGGGGAAATATATTTCCCTTCCCTTTAAATACAGGAGCCCTGTCCAGCCACTAAAAAACCAAAATCAAACAAAAAATAAATGCAGGAGCCAGGGTTTGTACACATCATTTCCTTCACATCCCATCAGCCAGAACTTAGTTATGTGGTCTCATGGAGCTGCAGGGAGGCTGGCAACTGGGGTCTCTGGTCTGGGTGGTCATATGCCCAGCTAAAAGTTGGGGATTCTATTACTAAAAAGGAGGGGAAGAGTGGATGTTGGGGGGACAATGGTACTATCATTCTCCTGTCACCCATTTTTGACCCTTCTCCACCATCCAGTTTGTCCCCACATCCTGGCACATTCTCGATGCCTTTCCATAGGGTCCCATCCTTTATCCCCACTGATGCCAGCATGGACCCTTACTGCTTTATACCCAGTGACTCACAAGAACCACTAACCGATCCCCTTGCTTCCAGTCTCCCCCGTTATCATTCTAAAGAGCAAATCTGGTCATATGGCTCCACTGCTTAGCAATCCTTCAATGGCTCCCCCACTGCTCATACAAGTAAGATCTTAAGTGCAGATTTCTGAATCCCTGAAGTTACATGCCAACTTTGAAGACAGTGTTAGATTCTCAGAAGGGTCAGGAATTCCCCCTCAAGTTACACGCTCAAGTCCAAATTCTTAATATAATATCCTAACAGAAGTGAGACATGTCTCCCAACCGCCCTCTCACATCTCCTCCAGTCACTTCTCCCACACAAACTAACCTGAAGTCATCCTGAAATTCTCTTCACTGCGCGACAGGCCCTGCCTTTTCACCTACAATGTCTTCAAGCCTGCTGGTCTGTCCCGAAGGTCCTGACAAACTCCTACACATCCTTGTGGGTTAGCTCAAAAGCCACCTCCTCTGTGAGGCTTCCCTGACTCCCTCTGGCCTAATCTGTCTCCACAGCACTATTTAGACCTCCTTCATTTACCACATTACACGGTCACAGTTGGCCTACCCCTGTCCCCTCCATCCAACCATGAACTCTGGATCCCAGGGTCCCGATTAGACAGTCCACCAATATTTGTTGAATAAATGTCACTCGTGCTCAAAAAACTGGAGTGCTCTTTCTAAAGTGTGAATGTGATATTGCTTCCTGGGCTCCTAATTCCTCATTTAAGTCCAAACGTGCTACCATGGCTTTCTGTTTCGCCTCATCGTACAGTACTTCCCTTTCCTTCTCCAGGAACATGAAAGTTTGATTGTTTATTCAGTGTTGACTGGTAACCAGCTAGCCCTGAAATTCTTTTAATGTCCCAAATCCATGCTCTCTCTCTCATCTTGGCGCTTTATTCATGCTTCTCCCTCTGTCTGGAACATCTTCCTGCTCCTCCTTTCCTGGCTAATTCCTACTCATCCATCAGACCGCTTAAATATCCCTCAGGAAGCCTTCCTGGACCCCTCCCCACCCTCCAACTTGGATGAGGGTCCCACCTATGTACCCCCAAAGCACCTTTTACTCTCCCAGTTGTACCACAGATCACACTGCATTGTATGACTTGTCTTTCTGCCCTCTAAACTGATGTAAACCCTGTGCCTCACTTGCCCACTAGTGTATCTCCAGCCCCAAATACAGTATTTGGAAGGGAGTAGAGGTGCCTGATAAACGTGTTGATGAGGATTAGAGAAATGGATTTCTCAATCTTAAGTCTGGTTTTCAATAGCTTTCCATTGCCTTTGGAATAAAGCCTTACCACAGATTTTGGGACACTTTATGATTTGGTCTCCATGTATTTATAGTCTTATCTCTTACATCTTTTGATCTCAGTGTCCCAGTCAAACATGACAGTCATATTGAACCGAGTAAAGGTCCCCAAATGCCTGCTGTCCCGTCTTCCAGGCTTGGCAGTACTCATCTCTCAGCCTGGTACACCCTCACTTCTCCTCATCTCTCTCTCTTTATTTTCTGGCTAATATCCACTAATCTTTAAGTTTTTGATTCAGATGCCCCCTCCTCCCTTGACTTCCTAAGACCAGCCCTGATGCCCTGTATTGATACCCCTATAGCACTCTGGGCTGCCTTCTCACCATTCTGTTTTTTCCCTAGGAGATGGCGGCAGACTGCCCTGTGCTCACTGTGATGTCCCTAACGTAAGCCCCATGCTGCACACGGTAGGCACTCCATAATTTTTTTTTTCCCTTTGCCCTCTATAAACATTTACAGAATGAAAAATGTTGCTTGCTCTATGCCTTACTATTGGCACATGTGTCCTGTTTCCCAGAGGCAGATCGTAAGCTCCATGAAGGAAATGAGGAGGGCTGAAACGTCTGTGGGTCTCTCCCAGGCCTGAGCTTAGCACCTGTCCCCAGTAAGCCTGATTTATATTGTTTGGAGGTGGTGCTGGGCCAGACATGTAACAAATGTGTTAATCAAAGGGGCTTTGGCTTAAAGTCCTGGAAAGCCTTGTTTTTGCAGAGGGAGCCAAAGCTGCTTTCTAGAAGCCAGTGCTGGGAACAGTGTCAGGCACCTGGCTGGTTTCAATAGATATTTGTTGAATGAATTCTACAGCCAAGGGACAGTAACAGGGAGACAAGCTTGTTCATCTCACCACGTTCTGGGCTCAGACATTCCAGTAGAATGGAATGGTTATAAGGAATTAGATCAGGCGTTCATAGTCATAACTCAAGACTAAAAGAAAATTATTAAAAATCTCAGAAAGGGGGTTGGCTGGTTAGCTCAGTTGGTTAGAGCATGGTGTTATAAACACCGAGGTTAGGGTTCAGATCTCTGTACCAGCCAGCTGCCAAAACACAATCAAATCTCAGAAAGGATGGATAAAGTCTTTATGAGAATGATGAGTAGTAGTAGTTTTCAAGTTCTAGGAAAGCCAGTTTGCTTTCTCTGGTGAGTAAGCTGTTTTCAATAGCTGGACTCAAATGAGATATTTAAAAAAAAAAAGAAGATGACCCAATGAAAGTTACCACCCGAATATGAGATGCAGAAATAGATCCTAAGCTGGCATTATAGGACACAGACCCCCTACTGTCTGCAAAGACACAAGAGCAAAAATGATACTCACTGCAAGTTCCTAAGAACCAGGAGCAGAGAGATGCAAAGAAATTTTGAGACAGAAGATTGAGAGGCAGCATTTTAATATACAAACAATAAGGACAGGCCAGAGCTCTGCTACTTGAAGTGTAGCTCTGGCCCAACAGCATCAGCATCCCCTGGGAACTGGTTACAAATGCAGAATCTCAATCCCCACCCCAGACCTGCCACTTTCTTACAAGATCCCAGGTGATTTGTATGCACATAAATGTCTGCAAAGCACTGGGCTAGAACATTAATGTAAGTTTCTGCTCTTACGTTATGTTTTGAGGTCAAAATAAACCCATTTAAAACATTTTTAGCTCATTATTTGCTCCATTCTCTGTACCTCTGAGCAGTCTCAACACATGTCACTGTTCCTGCTCTGGGACTTTGAGCCTCTCATGAATCACAACGGCTTAAGGAAATTTGCTGCACCATTTCTGTAGACAGCCTTTATGGGTTACGAATTGGATCCCAAAACTTCTATCAGCTGTTCCTTCTGCAGCACCCCCAGGAGGTAGGTTGTATGATGGTTTCTGTTTTTAGAGATGATGGAACTGAGGCCCAAGGAGACTTCTGAGTCACCCAAGGGGCACCAAGCAAATTGGCACCAAGCAAAATCCACAAGAAGAACTCAAGCTTTTGGGTTTCCAGTGAGCCTCACCAAACTTTGATGTCTCTTCTTTTTATATAAGGGGGATTTTTTTTTTTTTTTGCATAGGAGATTTTAAGAAAGAACACGTTCATAGATAACCTTGTGTGAGCTATGATTATGAACCATGCACGTGCGGCCCCAGAGAATATGGAAGCTTAAGAAAGAATTGTCCGGTAGAGAGAGATGTCAGTGCAGAGAGGGCCCTGCCCTGCCCTGCCCTGCCTGTCTCACATGCTCTGGCTGCAGCCCAGGCTTGAAGGCTCTGCAGGCAGGAGCCTCAGAACACTCCGAGCACGTTTGCTCCTAGGGGCTATGAAGGGAAGTGCCGGGGATTACCATGAGGCTGTGGATGCGGCTATGGAGGAAGCGTGGTGGATTCTGGATGACAACAGCCCATTCCCAGGAGGAAGCTTGCTCTGATTCGTGTGTTTCTTTCACAGGTTCACAATAGCTGATATAACTGGACTCTGTGGCATGCTTCGTTGGACTGGATTTTCTGATTAATTCCAATTTCCCCAGACCAAATTGGAGTAACTTGATGACTCAGAAAATAGTCAAGACTTATATCTGGTGTTGATGCCAAAACGCTTCCTCATACCTTGTCTGAATTTAAGATTTCTCTGACAACCCCATCTACACAAAGGCCCCAAATGGGGCTTGTGCAGTTTCTCCTGTGTGTGCGGTGATTCTCCTCGTGTCTTCTAGAGAATGGTTTACAGGGTGCCTGCTTAAGTCCCCTCCCATCCTCTCTAGACATGCATATTCAGTGGAACATATTTATATATACTTGAGTTTTTAAAAAAAGGACTGTACTTTAAAATTCCACGTAAAAAGTATTGCTTTTCTAATTGTGCGAATGTGCTCCTGCCTGCCTGCTTGTCACACAGTGCAACAAAGGGGAGGGTCACAAGGAATTCAAGGCTGAAGATGTTTGGGATTTTTGGACGACACCAATGCACCCCACACCTTGCACCCTGCACCCTGCTCTGAAGTCCGCGTAGTTTGGGGGCTTGGCCTAAGGCAAAAACTACAAAGCATCCTACTGAGCAGAATTACACAACAGGAATGTATGTGCATATTTGACATAGTTTCTTCTCTGGAGGGGCGGCCCTCTGGCCATGACCTCTGCCCTCTCTAAGGGTGAAGGAGGAGTCCAGAGAAGGAGTCTTTTGTTCCCGGCTGCCAGTTCTTCCACAGCCCCTACATCCCCAGGGACCTGCCCTGCTCCGCGTGGGCCCGCAGAAGCCCTGCAATTTCCACATGGGTGGGTGACTGCAGAACGATGGACAAAGCTGTGCGGCCAGCCTACAGAGGGAAAAGAAAAAGAGAAACAAATTTTATCCTGTCTGCCTCCCGCCCCAAAGGGGAAGGGCGAGCTGGGAGTAGGGCATATGCCTGGAGTGCAGGAGTCTAGTCCAAGCATCCAGAGACCCTCAGAGAGGAAGAGATTCAAATGGCGCGAGGTTCATGAGAAACAGGGCCCCTTCCACAGAAACAGCACTCACTCCTGGTAAATCTGTGCCAATGCAAATAAAGAAGGGTCATTTGGTTTTTAACACTTTTTTAAAAAACTGGAAAACAGAAGAGAATAACTCTTTCTATTCTACTACATGGACCTAAATGAAAGGTAGCATTTTGGTGTGTTTCCCTCCAGTCTTTTCTCCTATGCAAATTTGTGGGTTTTTAAGTAGAGGAATAATAGTGTATATAAATTTTGGATCTGCTTCTACTTTTAACTTACCGTGGTTTGCTATAAGACTTTCCCCTGTTCTTATACGGTCATCATAAGGTATGATTTTTGGTTTTGGCTATATAACATTCCATAATTTATTAACCATTTCCCTTCTATTGGAGACTTAACGTTGTTTCCAAGTCTCCACCATCATAAACTTAGTGCAAAAAGCATTTTCCTGTTTTTATTCGGTTCCCAAGGACTGACTCTTAGAAGTGGGCTCACAGCATCGAAGGACGTGCACATTTTCAGCCTGATGCATGATGCCCTGGCATTTTTCACACTGCCCCGGCAGTGCAGGAAGCTGACCGTCTCACTGTCCAGAGGAGGAGCACCCAGAAGGGCTCCAGTAAGGTGACACGGTTCATTCTCTACAGAGCACTGAAGGGAAAGGCCAAGGTGACTTGGTGGATGCTGAGCTCCATGAGGGCAGCCACCGTCTCTTATGAGTGGGCACAATCCATATCCAGGATTCTGAAGTCTAAACAGCTCCGAAAACCACACTTTTTTGGTAACTTATTTGAATGTAAAACCCAAGCTGAGTCTATCTGTGATCTTTATTTAGCCTACTCAGTGTGAATGTTTTTACATTTTGCTACAGAAATGGGTTTGATGGCTAGGGGACACCCAAGACCCCACTAGACATTCTCTACTGTATACATACAGAATCACTTTCTGAAGTGTGGACGATTCTTTCACACAAGCTGGTGGGAAGTGTTAACACCCAGCTTAAAAGTCTTCAGGCTTTTCCCTGTGCACCAGGATGGAATCCAGCTGCCACCAGGGCCCACACACACGCTCGGCAAAAAGCTAAGGGAGTCGGTAGAGAGGAACAGAGACAGCTCCTGGGAGAGGAGGGCACTGTGTGCAGGGGGATGGGCTGGGGCAGGGATGTTGAGGGGCAAGCAGAGGAAGGAAGGGGCCTTTCAGTGGGACCCTGAAGGGCGGCACAGGGCCTTCACAATGCATATGAAGTTCTTTCCCTGGAAAGGCTTCATGACTCCCTGGATTTTTCTTTTGCCACCCTTGACACATTGGTATGTGTGGGGTTATTTGGTAAATCTCGGTCTCCACAAGGCAGACAATCTCCCTGTTCACAGCTGCATTTGGCTGGCACTCAGCAAGCATTTTTGAAAGAGTGCATGCTGCCCGATGGCATCAGGACATTCACTTCAAGCTGGTGAAGAGCCTGGGCAACCTGAGTCCTCATGGGTATTTTCTTAGATTGGAAAATACTGGAACAAATCAAAGATTTTAAACAGGGGAGTCCTGTAAAAGCCCCATAAGAAGACCCTGTGCTCCTGCATGCTGCACTCCATCCACTGTGCCCTGTCAATGCTCAGGCCCTGTGCAAACATGAAGAGGGAGGATTACTGTCACTACGGGAAGGAGCCACCCATGGACATGCACCTTTTAACAGGGCTCCTCAATTGCAGAACGGAGAGTGGTGGCCCCATTCAGCTCAGGAAGTGTGGCCAGAAAGACCACCTGGGGAGGGCGAGTGTCCCTCAGAGGCCTCTTCCAGGACCCTGGGGATAAGCCATGGCAGGGGGCTCCAGTGGGGGCCAGGTGTGGCGAGTCCATGCTCAGCAGCACTGCAGGCCTGGCTATGGAGACCCAGACTCTGCGACCTGAGGAGATGGAGGGGCTCAGGGAGCCGGCACCTCTGTGCATGTGCATGCATGTGTTGGGGGGTGTCTTTTAATATGACGAGACCTCGTCACTAACTCTCTATGTTCCAGGCAAAGATGAGCAAGACATAACCTCTATCTTCAAGGAGTTTTCAATTTGATGGGTACTTTGAAGAAGCCACCAAAACAAGCCCTTCAAAGAATGTGCCTCTGGGGCCCAGTGCTCAGCCCTTACCACTAACTCCCTGCACTGTCACACCAGTGGCCCTGAAGGGGCTGGGTGGCTGATTTCCTGGAATTGCCTTCTACACCTAGAGAACATGCCTTGTCGGCTCTTCTGGGAGTTCTGTATTTATATCAAACTTTAAATGCTGATGGCAAAAACCAATTTCAGGACATGAATTCTCTCTCAGTCTTCCAAGGGAATTCCCAAATATTCCCTGCTTGTTAACATCTAAGCCTCCAGAGGAAAGATGAGTATTGAAATGGCATGGGGATTATGACAGGGCTGGACTTTCCCCTTAAATGCAAAGCGCCAGGTACACAAGCCTTGGTACTGGCTAGGGTCCCTCCCTCAATAGTCCCCTCCTCCCATGGAAATTTCTCACCCTGTGAATGTAGACACTGTGCTCACCCAAGTCACCCTTGGGAAATTTGGGTGTGAACCCTGAGCCAACCCTGAGCCAGTCAGGCAGCACGAGCTTGGGCATGGTGGGGCCCAGACTCGCCTTGCCTGTGGGTCTGCTGCCCACACTCCCTGGGCACCTGTGCTGGCTGGGATTTCCCAAACACACTCTGCCTTCCGCTATGATAGATTTCTGCCCATGTCCTGTGTAGCACTCCACTCCCTCCCTTCTAGGCTTGGAGCCCTGCTCTGAACTGCAGTCAGCCTGGTGCTCAGGCCTGGCTCTTCCAGAATTCGCCTAAACCAAGGTTTCTCAATGGCAGCACTGTTGACATTTTGGGCCAGATAATTCTTAATTCTTTGCTGTTCTGTGCATTGTAGGATGTTTAGCAGCATCTCTGACCTCTACTCAGTAGGTGCCAGGAACACTTCCTTCCCCACTTGTGACAAATAAAAATGTCTCCAGACATTGTCAAATCTCCTCTGGAGGGCAAAACCATCCTCTGACTGAGAACCACTGGACTAAATCAAGTATGTTGACCTTAAACCGAGTATGGTCTGATTGGCTCCCCTAATTCTCCCTACTCTCTCCAGATACTGCCTGTGAATGCCGAGGTCCCTACTCATTGATGTGGTGGTTGTTTTGTTTTAGCTCTCGTCATGATAATGACAATGGTTACCATCAACTGTGTACCTCCCAGATGTCAGATGTGGTCTTTCTAAACATTACAGTATTTAGGTACAGTCCATTGCTATTCCCACTTTACAGATGAGCATACAGAGGCTCAGAGTGGCTAGGTGACCTGCCTGAAGGCACACAGTCACTGAATCCAGATTCAAACTCACGAGCATTTCATTTTAAATCCACGCTTCTAACAATCCTAATTGGGTTGTCCAAAATGCAACAGATCCCTCCCCGCATGGCTGTTCCTTTACCCACAGAAAGCAGCCTCTTAGCTCTCTCTTTCTTGTGACAGGCCTCCAGAGTGCCCAGGGGAGCTCTCAGATTCACTGCCTGATTATCCCGGCTAACCAGGGACTTCCCAAGCCCATGTCCTGCCTGTCCCACAGGCCTCCCCTCTCAGGCCTCTTCCAGGCAACAGCAGTGGTCACTCCTAAGAGGGCCATGGACCTTTGATGTACAGGCCTGTTCCAAGTTAAGGGCTGCCTCCTCCCCCAGGGCAACCCAGCAGGGAGCTCATAAACACAGATCCTTTGTCTGACTGCATAATGTTTGGAAAAGGAGGCTCTGATTTCCACAGCCCACCCCTGTTACTATAAGAATGTCTGTGCTCTCTAATGATGTCAGAAATGGCTTTGGGGTGAAGCTGGGGTTATGGGACCTAGAGACACTGGACCAGATGTCTGCTGTCTAGGTGTGACTTGAGGCGCTCAGCAGGTCTAATCACTGATGAATCAATCTCAGGTAGTTTAGGCATGGCCCAGTAAGAGGTGCTGTCCCTGAGCAGCAAGCAGACTTTCTTCCCTTCTCCAGGCTTTTATTCTCTTTGAATGGTGGATGTTGAAGAAGTATAAAGATGTCTATTTAAAGCATTATAGTGCCAACATTAAGGATGTTGAAGTCAGACCTAGGCTTGAATTCCTGCTCTGAGAACCAGCAGCTTGTAATCTAAGGACAGCTACATAATGTCTCTGGGCCTCCGTTTCCTTATCAGTAAGATACGGGGATCACAGTACCTACCCTCACTGGGTTATTCAGAAGATTAGAGGTAGTACATGAAAAAGCTTAGTTCCCATGAGTACTCCAGAAATATCACTGACTGTAATGATCAGGAGCAGGAACTCTTACTGCTGATCTGCCTCCAAAGTTTAGGGGTTCATTCACTCAATTGCCAATTCATTCACTGATACATGGGTGTGGGGATTCAGCTGGGAGCCAGAGGCATGGACACTTCAGTGTGACAAGGACAATGATGGGACAGTTGAGTATGGACTCAGGAATTTGATGGCACTGGGTTCCACTAGCTGTGTGATCTTGGGTATGTCACCTAACCATTTGGTTTCTCCATTTCCTTGAGCAAAGTGGTGGCAGCAAGAGTCAACCTCACAAGGTTGTTGTGGGATTTGCATGAGATGGTCCAGGGTAAATGCTCAGTAGGGTATCTGGCAGTAAGCCAGATTAGCCCTTGATACATGTTAGTTATCATTATCATCATCATCATCATTTTCATCACCTTATAAGGAAGATATTAAAGAGGCCTGAGTCTGGAAATGCAATTTCAAGGAGGCTGGCTTAATCAAATGGGCCACTCCATAAAGTGCATCAATGTCAGAGACATATTTCCGGTTTAATGACTACAAAGATGACTCTGTACAGTTGGTTCCTTGATCTGGCTTTCCAGGGTCCCCACTGGACGGTAGAGCTTTCCAGTCCAAGCTGTGGTCTCAAAGCCCATATGCCGCTATTGCTGTCATGACCAGATGAGGCTTGGGGCTAAGCCAGGCCTGGGCACATTCCCCCAGGATGATGTTGTCAAAGGCTGGGTTTGTGGGTTTACCAGCTGTAAGGCTCCAAGCATTTACCACGTATCTCTCATTTAAATCGCACAGCAGCCTTATGAGGTTGATTTCATTGTTACTGTCATATAGTTCCTTGAATTCTGCTGACTGGCAAGGCACTTCTCAGGACTGGAAGTTAAACACCTACTTGTTAATTGCCTATACAGCTCACCTTGTCAATCAGGCTGCTGTCGCAGGCCGGGTGTGCCAGGAGCAGCCGTACCAGGTCGGCATTGCCATGGTGACAGGCCAGCATGAGGGCCGACGATCCATCGTGGTCCTGCAGGTTGACATCTGCCTGGCAGCTCAGTAGCGCTTGGACCATGTCCTCCCGGTCGTGGCTGACTCCCAGCATCAGCGCAGTCTGGCCTCCCTGCACACAGAGCCACAGGATGTGATGAGGTTGCTGCCGCCAATGGAGAAGGGCCCCCTCTCCAGCCCGGGTGTGCTCAGTGAAGGCTTCTCAACAAAATGACCATTGCTCTGAATCTCCTTCCACCCTTGGTATGGGATGCATCCTTCTCTGCCTGGCAAACTTCTGCTCTTCCCAGGCACTGGTCAAATGCTACATCCTCTCTAAAGCCTTTGCTAACTCCCCAGGCATGGGATTCATAACACAGCACTTAGCACTTGGCATTGCAACTTGTCAATCTCTCTCTTTCTCATGGACTGTGAAATTGTTGATGGCAGGGACTAGTCTTTTTTGTCTGTCTCTCCCATGCCTAACACCAAGCACGTGCTGATAACTGTTGATTGATGGAACAGATGAAGGTTGAATGCTTCAGCACCAGGACTTCTTACTGCCCGCCCCAGCCTGACTTTCTCCAGGAAGTCTTGGCCTGCTCAGTACCTCTGGTATTTTCAGTTTAAAGATACCCAGAACCCTCTTGTCTCAACAAGATCTCTGTTTGCATGTCCCTGTGGTCATTTATAGTCTGTAGCCACTGACAATAATCTGACATCCTGTAATCACTGGCTGAGGTAGCAATGGATCAGAGTCAGAAAGCAAGTCTAAGCTCTAGTTCTGCTGTGTACTACCATTTACCCTGGCCATGTCGCTTGTCTTCCCTGAATCTTGCTTTTTCAATATAATAATGATCTGCCCTGTGTACCTCACAGGGCTTTTGTGGGAACCAAATGAGGTAAACAATGTAAATATAGTAATGTATGATAGTAATTTTTATGATTACAAATTGGCCATCATTTCTCCTTTCCATAGATTTTCTTATATATACCATATACAAAGGGACTTCAAAAAGTACATGGAAAAATAAAACTAAAAGATAGTATGAATCTTTCCATGAACTTTTTGAGGACCCCTCATACATCCCTGTTTTCCTATAGTCGTCTCATATGACTTTATTATATTTTGCCCTCATGATTCTCCTGGATTCCCACAAGATCAGGCTTGTCCCAATGATGAGGCACCAGGCTTTGCAGGGTTGCAAGAATAAGGCAAAGGATTATGTTCTCTCTCCCTTCAGATCCCCTGTAGCTCTGAATGCAGCATCTTACACCTAAAAGTGCTAAGGATCTGTTTGCTGATGTGTTGACTAATTAAAACTCCAATCTGCAGTCACTGGTGGATTTTGCTTCCCTGCCCAGATACTGGGGCCTTGAGAAAATAAAGGGGGTTTGGAATCAGAAAAATCCTACCTCTGCCACTTATTACCTGTGTGACTGGGGGCTAATCAAGCTGTGGCTTCTCCTGATTTGGTAAAATGGGAATGATTCACAGCAGTACCTGCCTCAAGGGGTTGTGATGAGACCCAAGGGCTGAGCAAGTGCTGGGTGTCAGCTATTATCACCATCGTGAGGGTTAGCAACAGGGTATGACAAGTGCTCAACACGTTGTAGGTGCTCAGTACATGGTACATGTTATTAGATGTCCTGTTTCCTCATTTCCAGAGAAGCCTGTTTACTTTTCCTCAGCTCCAAGGTAATAGCTGTTTACTGGAATAACTAGACCATGAGGTTTCCATCCAGACCCCTCTCTCCGACTGTTATTAGAACCAGAGGATACGTGCAGATTGTCCTTAAGTCTCCTCTGCCTGACTCAAGGCTCCTTCCTTCCTCACCTTCCTCCTGGTCCAGCTCAATACAATTTAATTCAGTGATCACTTACAGAGTGCTACAACATACCAGGCACTGCACTGACCCTGGAGATACAGAGAAATAAGCTGCTTATCCCTAGGAGACCCCCACCTCGTTCTTGTTACACCTGGTACCTCCACCTCTCCTCACACCTAAAGGCCCCCGGGGGAGCTGAAAGGAGAAGCTGCAGCTGTGAATTCCCACCTCTTTTCTGGTGACTGGGGATGAGCCCCTTCCCTACTAAGGCATCAGTTTCTCTTCTGTAAAAAGAAGGGCTTGATTTTGATCGTTGGTGAGCATCCTCTCTTGCAAAAGGGCCAATTTAGAAGAAAAAGTAACATGTTTATGGAAAACATAGTATTTAAAATGGAAACAGCTGAGTTGAGTCCTATGGAATAGGAGTTGTAGGTGGGTGGGTGAAAATACTCTGAAAACCAGAAACTTATCTACAAATATCTGCTTCTTGCCATCGGTAGGATTACTATTAGATAAAGTGTGCAAAGTGCCTGTGCCATCAGGTTAGGCTGCTGTCTGCGATCAGTCTGGGGAGGTGGGGACAGTGGAGGTAGACATATTGTTGGGAGTCAATTCCCATGGGTGTCTTGCACTTTTGCACGTCTTGTGAGTGAAGCACACAAGAATCAGCCCTTTTGTTCTAGACTATCTTTTTAAGGACATTTGTACAGTGAACTGCCTCGGAAGATAGAAATATTGTCTCTCTCTTTTTCTTTTCTCTTTTTTTTGTGGGGGGGGCAGTGGCTGCCTAGTTCAGGGATCTGAACTCTTAACCCTGGTGTTACTAACACCATGCTCTAACCAAATGAGCTAGCCAGCCAGCCAAGATAGCATCTCTTTCTGAGAAAAAGGCAGGCTTGCTTACAGTCTACTATAAAAGATTATGGTTCCCTAAGCTCAGGGTTCCTCTCCTGTAACCCAGCCCACTCCATGCTTAGGTATCTGGCCCTCCCCACTGCCCTGTAGGAACTGGGAATTGTGCAATGCTGCTGCTGTGGCTACTGCAACTGCTGTGTGCAACACACTGTCCTTTGTCTCTACCAGCATACATGAAACTGTAGCAGGCTAACTTGTTGGCTTTAAGGCAGGGTAAAATCTCAGACTCTTCACAGTTCTTGACAGATACGCTCCTATCTATGACCATTCTTGGAGGAAAGGAGAGTTAAATGCATTCTACTCATTCCTGTATGGTCAAAGATGGGCAAGGGACCTTTTGAGGAGTCCCCATTGTTCCATGTGGAGCCTGGTCTAACTCAAAGCCCGAATGGGTAAGGACCACACTCCCACCCTATGTTCTTAGGTACAGGAGCCTAGAAGCTGAATGGAGACATCCCAACCCTCTGAGTTGCCTGGTATACTTTGCTGTCTGTAAGATCTTTCTTGGCCTGAACCCCAAACAACTTCTACTTAATCATTCTATGAAAGGCTCAAGTATCCAGATTATGCTCAGTTTAAAAAGTTATTGGAGCTGTTACAAATGGGCTACTTTGGTACAGCATGAATTTCCTAACACTGGAGGTCACGTAGTTGGAGCCCATTATAAGGAAGCTGGAGATCATATGGCAAAATTTTGCAAAAGAATAGGGGGTAGACCTAGGTGCCCTTTAAAGGCCCTTCTGACCTGAGGCATAGGGTGACGCAGTGAATTAGTGGAGCCCACATGTGCTGACTTCCTGGCTACTACCTTAGTGTAGGGCCCCACTGGCTGCTGGCAGCAACTGATCTTCCTAGCCTGGCCCATGGCACTGCTCCTGGGGACGGGGGCATGATTTGTGTGCCCAGGACAATGTCACTCACACTGGTTGATGGGGAGGTAAGGAAGACAGGAGTGTTTTGAGATCTGGTTATTTCAAGGACTGCAGAGGCATGCCAGGTAGATTGATCAATTACCAGCAGACCTCTGTATGAACTCTCTGGGCTAAACTGAGGCCTGGGAAGTGGGGTCCTCATAACCCTTGGGACAGGTCAGCAAAAGCTCTTTTCTCTTCATCAGGCTGGGAACATATCACCTTGTAAAAAGGCTTTGGGGAGGGAAGAGAAGACAGAGGTGAGAACTTTAAAGGACTTCACTTCCAAAGTGCGTCATGAGTGGGGTAATGAAGAAGGTGGATCACCTCCAGAGGCTTTCCTAGAGCAGCCATCCTTCTCCAGATGCTAACAGTGGAATATGTGGTTCAAGAAGTCGAGTCCAGATGGCACTTGCCCAGTTTCAGATAGGGACCTAGATTAGAAGCTCAGTGAACTCTGTCCCAGCCAGTCTGGGTCTCAGGAGTCTTTAAGGAAAACCAAATATTCAGGCTTTGGATGGATGCCATTTGGAGGCCCCAGCCTTCCCAGGTCAAAAGCTCTACATGGGTCTGTATAGATCTCTCACCCCACTGGCATTCATGAAAGAGATCATGTTCACATCACCTACCTGAGTAGCTTGGATATTCACATTTCCTGCTCTTAAGAGTTTCCACACAACAGCCATGTCTTCATCGGTCTCTGCGGAAGCCAAGGGAGTAATCATCACAGCAGTATAGCCAGCTTTGTTCTGATGGTCCACGTTGCAGACGCCTGCAAGAGGGGCAGTGGGCGCTGGTATAGCTCCCAGGGGGAGGAGCCAGACTCCACCTTAGCCAGTTCAACAGGACACCGCTTGCTGGTTAAACAGCCACAGAATAGAGCAGTCCTTTCCATGGCGTGCAGCCAGTGGTTTACATTTTTAGCAGCCTTTAAAACTGGCTACTGGGCTGGCCGGTTAACTCAGTTGGTTAGAGCATGGGGTTATAACACCAAGGTCAAGGGTTTGGATCCCCATACCGGCCAGCTGCCAGAAAAAACCCCAAAACAAAACAAAACAAAAGCAAAAAAAAACTGGCTACTTTTCAAGTTTTCTGAGGATACCCAGCAAGGGAGGTCTACAACAGAGGCAGAGATGGCCAAGGGCACCAATGACTGTGACTTCACTTCCTAAACTGGAGCACAAGACATTATTCCCATGTTACAGATAAGGACACTGAGGGTCACAGAAGGTACATAATCTCTCCACGTGCAGGTGAAGTGGGTCTGGGACTCAGGTCTGATGGCTCTACAGCCCAATCACACACTACCCACAGCTGTGCATTTTAGGTTTCCCTCTCACTATCTCATGTCTGTGTGACTCTTAAGTAGACGGCTGTTTATAGGTCCCTTCCAGGGGTGTAGTGATCTGCTGTGCAATGGACTAAGGGCATTGTTGGGAAAATGGAAAAATTTAATCAGGCCCCCTCACCTGCCCATCCGGTTGGGGATGGTGCAGCGTATTCTTTGTAAGCAAATTGTGTGTGGGGGGGGGTGAAGTTAGTGTGCACGCACAGCGCTGCAGCTCGGCTGGCTAGTGCCTCCGGGCATCTGCCACGCACAGCCATGCTCTCCAACCTACAGCTTCCAAGGACCTGTTTGCCGGTTACCTAGCTCATAGACCTGTGTGGGAGGGGTCTGGTGACCCAGCCTGGAGTGTGAAGGGTTTGTGACCCAGTCTGTGAATGGGTTTGAGGGGTCCGTGAGCTCCAGACCCAGCCCTAGCTCAACAATTGGCCCAGTCGGCAGGATTACAGACAGGTAAAAGAGCCCGACAGGCATGAAGAACACCACAGGATAAACATGGGAAACCTTCTGGGAA